TGCACGGGCCTGTCAAGGGTTTTTTCTACATTCTCCTTATATCAGAAACATATCAACTTTTATTATTGTTATTGAATTGTTTTATTTTTGTTTTAAATGACAATCCAAATCGATAACACGACAAAATCGATAATCAGATACAAATGTACAAACTGTCAGAATTTTCAATCATGCCGACTTGATGATGAATAGAAGCAAAGCAAAGTTTGTTTTTATAAAAATGTATTTACTTATCTGGTTTTTTTCCTTCCTGTGAGCTTATCTTTTATCGGATTTTGAAAATTTTGTCAAAATGTTGCAAGAAAAGTTCCGGTGTTAAAAAGTTTTTCTTCCCACTAGGGTGCTATTTGAAAAAACTAGGTTATCCTAAAAAATTAATAGTTCACCACATTAAATGCTATTTGCCATTAGACAAGTAAAAAAAAGTTTCATTTACAATTTTTTCCACGATCGGGTGACCCGGTAAGTAGTATTTATGATGGTCACAGCCTACTAGACACAATTTTCAAAAAGTAAATTAAAAAAAAAAAGAGAAAACCCGGCCTACTCTAAGTAGAATAATCTCCCGAATCAAAAAATGCAAAAAATATAGGTTGTGCTATTTAAAATTCGAAAGATACTGTCGTTTCCCCTCAACCCGGAAGCGCAACCATTGACTACATATTGTCAAAGAATTGGACATTCAGCCTATATTAACCCTTCAAAATTTCCAATCGCTATCTCAAGCCATTTAACAGTTATAGAGTGTTCCCACTTTCTTGAGTTGGGATAAAAGAAAAATAACATACAGATTTAAAAATTACCTCACGGATAAAACGAAACGCAGTGTCTATAATGCCGTCTTCCTCTCAAATATCATTTATTTATTGAAATTTTGAGGAGCAATTGGTAAAATTTAATTTTAACTCTCCTCAGCTCACAATTCAATTTTGAAACTGTTATTTAATTAAATTAGATTAACGAACACGATTAATTGGACAAATAATTGGATATTCCCAGGCTTGGCATTATATCGGCATTTAAACAAATTAAATTAATTTAGAAAATATTAGACGAAATGCAAAAATTTTATGTACTATCAGGATGACTAACGATGCACATCAATACAGCATTAGATTTCTAAATAATATTTATAAAATGGACACAAATATAAGACTTTCTACTTGCTATGAAGACATAGAGTAAGGTTTCAGAAAAAAAACTTGAAGGGATATTAAAAATCTTGAGGAGTATTTTTAAGCATTGTTATAAATAATTGGAAGCATTCTATAGGCATGTTTAGAGAATTTGTTGATTGTTACTGTATTAATCTAGAAAAAAATAAAGAAAAGTTTAACCAACACAAGTACTGCCATTGGATTCAATACTCATTTATCTGTGATAGCAACAATCGGTGTCTATTAACTAACCAAAACTTAATAAATAAGAACTAAAAGTTCAGATTTTCACGAAATTATATATTTTCACATGACAATTGTGTCTTTATCAAATGTCCATTGTCCAAAATCTGAATTTTTGGTTCTTATTTATTTTCTTAAATGGATTTTCATCAAGTAAAAGCCACCTCAGTTCAATTAACCAAAACTTATTTTGATATTTTAATCGAGTAAAATTGCACCTTGATATACCGATATGGCCGACTACTAATATAAAGCTCGCCTAACCGTCCACCCTATAATACAAACGACCACCATTCGATGACCTTTATTGCAAAACGAAGATTGCGCGTACAGTTAGAACTGCTCTCTACTTTTATAAAAAGAAAATGACGCCCGCACACTTGAACGATTGCAATTACTTGGGCACGCTGTTGCCATGCAGCAAAATCTGGCTTGAGTTATTTATGCCCTAATGGAATAACACAGATAATAGTTTCTTGCTCAAATACGCTTTTAATATTAATTCAATAAGAATATTACCAGGAGTTGGTAGTAAATGATCACACACAAAAGCATACGTAATAACATCTTCATTTTTGCCTGTATAAAGGTAAATTTTTGTGGATTTATATTTTTTTTTTGCAATTTTTCCATGGCGTTTGAGACACAGTTGCCAAAAGTTTCTGCAATTTAAAAATCATTTTTAGTTGTATTTGTTTGTGTTATTTTTCTTATTTATTGTATTTACTTACCATAGTGCTTTAGTGTTTCCCACATTTTCTATTATTTTTTGTTAATAGGATTTGCCATGAAATTTTTGAAAAGCTCGTTTTTGCTTTCTTCTGCCTGTACCAAACGCACACTCTTTTTAGTATTACTGTTTATTCTTATTTTTGTTGAGTTTTTAGCTACAGCAGCCGTTAATATTTTTTAAAAAATTTTTGCTTATTTGTAGTACTTCACTTTCTTGATATATTGTGTTCCAATTTTGATTTATTAGACTTGCATTTAATTAGTTTGCTGTTTAATTTTTATATGTGTTTTGACACTGGCCTGGTATGTGAATTATTATTATATAAGTCATCGACTGCTCAACTATACGGTCCTCTCTAGTTATTTGATTGAATAATGATGAATACCCAATTTCGCTTGAAATATTTAAGTTTTCGGCTACGGTGTCAGTATTTGCTTTTAATATGTTTATGCCACCTGAGTGCGAATTGCTTTTATTGTTCTACTCTTTTGCTAATGATTTTAACATCTTTGCCCGTACTAAAAACGTAAAGATATAATAATACATAAAGAAAGTTTTACTTTCAACACCCTCTTCTTTTATTTTATAGCTGACTAGCACTGATTCATAGCGTCACATATCCCTTTAATACGTATGAGTTATGGGACACCCCTCAGTAATAATCATGATTATTATCTTCCATATTTAATTATGGAAATCTTAAACAAGCTGACGCTTATCCCATGCTCGTTTCATTACTGGCAAAGTAACCAAGCTCTTAAATGATATACAGGATGTTCCATCTGAAACTTTGTAGACCCGTTATGAGAAAAATTCGGAAAAACTATAATCGTCAATGACTATGCCAAAGAAGAGGCCGTTAATTAAAAATACTTTCGCAATGGCGGCACAACTTATTTTGATAAAGACACTGTGTGGTCGAAACAATTGTGATGTGAAAATATATAATTTCGTGAAAATCTGAACTTTTAGTTCTTATTTATTTTGACAACTTATTTTATTTTAAATGAAATAGGCGAAATTGATGTCTTAAAGAGGTCTTTTTCTACAAATAAGATTTAGTATAATCGCTTTTCGGCAAGACATCCTGTAAAATATTAACAGCACATTAATAACGTAATTTGCGATTTATCCAGATGTAAAAATGCGTTATAAATACTTTTACCAGATTTACATTCCAGCGTATAATTTATTTACACTGAGACGTGCTCACAATCCCAATAAGATTACAAGGATATAATATTATTTGTTTCTCGTAATTAGTTAATCCAGCGGATTAATAAGAATATGCATTTTTTAAATTTATTTTACTTTTACTTCACAAAATTAATGAAAGATAAACTTTAATAAATTTTAAAAAAACTTAGAGATTATATAAACGTAGACGTAAAAACGTATTGAAAATGTAGTGTCGCTCAGCCGCCTAGAATATCTTTAGCGAGGCTACGTTGTCGCTTCTTCAAAAGATAGTGATACCTTCAATATTTTGAAATAAGACTCCATAAAAATGAAATCATTTTTGGCATGTCTCTAGCGGTTTTCTAGAAATTAATGCCCTTGTCTTGCAACAGCTTTGTCCAGGGCAATTTGAAAGTTGTTTACGACCTTTACTATCGAAAAATAAACTTGATAGGAACTGACAGGTATTGGAAGAAATCAATCCAAGTCAATTACGATCTTCACAGAGATACAAATCCAAAAAATAAATAAACAACTATTTTGGAGTAAACAATTTTCAGAATTGCTTGTATTTTTGAAAAAAAAAACATAAAAAATAATAGTGTTTTCTTAAAAAGAACTAACTAATATTTAGATGGAACATTTAAAATAAGAATTAATGCCTCTTACAACACTATTGAATACTTGGAGCTTCTTGAGCATATGACTCTGGAATAAATTATTGTTTTGTGTGTCATGAAGTGGTTCTTGGAAACCTGTTTAACCCTAACTTAAAATATTTTGTGTACATTGTATCAATGTTTTGTTATATGCCTTGTTAGCTTGGACGTACCATTTTTTTTGTTTTGTAACTTATCTGAATGGCTAATAAAGGTCAATTGTATGCTATTAATAGAGAACTTGCCCATTTTTTTTATTTTACTAAAATGTGTGTTTATACATAAAAATACATTACATAAAATATGAACGCTTAAATCGCAATAATTATTTGACAATAAATAATTAAAGCAATTTAAAATCCAAATAAAGCAAAATGCGCGGCAACCGGTGTGACGTCACACCGCATGAAAGTGCACGGCACGTTACGAGTATAACGGACATTTCAAAGATTTCTCATTGATTTCTTACTAAATGTGCATCGTTAGTTTCGGTTTTTAAGTGCTTAATGTTCAATTTTTGTATTTATTATAGAAACTACTTGTTATAAATAGTGAACGAGTTCAACTGTGAAATATGCAGATAAAAATTTCATTCAGATACTAGAAGATAAAGTATAAGTAATTAGGGTCAGGTAAACTTGTTACCTTATTAGTAAAAAACAAACCTACCTAAAATAAAAAAATATCCAGATACTAATTTCATTTAGATAGAGGTAACTAACAATCTAACTAAAAGTATTATTTAGGTACCCATTATTTCATCAATATTTGATTAAGTATGTTATTTTTTGTTTTGAGATTGCGGAAGATATGGATAATTATGTAAAGTTTAAACTAATGGGTGTTACAAAAAAAGAATGAAACCTCTATTTCTTCACATTTTTAATTGCCAACCAGAGAGAAAAAAAAATTCCAATTGCTCCCAGAGCAGTAGCTGTTAAAAGGGCAATTCAAGCAGTTCTACTTCAACATTATCAGAAATATCACAAACTAAACAAGTGTTTCGTTAAAAATTTACCAATATCCTACTTTTTTAAGCGAATTCGGCATCAAATTTCATTATCCACTTCTGGGACATCCCACGCACAATTTTGAAATCGTATTCAAGCAAATAAACCCCCACCAAAAACTCGCCACATTTGGCAAAGGAGAGAGAGTTCACCACCTCACAAAGCGTTTCGAGAAACTTCCATCGCGTCACATTATAACGAAAACAAAAACGATAGAGGCATTCCGCCCACCACAGATCGACGTTTTTAATAAGTTTAAATTAAAAGGTTAAATGGAAACTGCGCCGTTGCCAAGTCGAGATCGCGAATGAAGCTACCGCGATTGCTGACTGATAGATGACTAACTGGTCGAGCACCAGGTCCGCCAGACCCGATGCACGTCGCGCATACTTTCGACGACGGCGTCCAAAAAAAGATTTATATAGGGCGATGCGAGATGCTGCGGGTCCCAGCGAATGTACAGTTCGAATTGAAAAGAACTCGCAAGATCCGAGCAACGAAAATACTATTAAATCCATCTATCAATCTATTTATTTTCGCCCAATCTTAGAACTCCTTAAAAAAACTTGTGTCTATGCAAATTTGGACACAATACACAAAAATTTATTGTAAGGAATTGAAATTAATATTCTAAAAGATTGGCTGCTAAAAATTTGGATTTTATACTTTAATGTTCCATGTGTTGCAGAAATTACCTACAGATGAAAGTTATTAATGGAAAACTAAAATAATTTTCTAGAAATTATAATTTATAGCTTAACTGGCTGTGAAGTAGGTCGGCAACAAAAAACAAAATGTTTATAACTGATAGTGACAGTTACAGATTTAGCGAAACTCTGCTCCTTTGATTATATGTATATAAAATGCCTTAGGCGCAAAGAAAACAGCAATGATTTTTCTTTATTAAGCAAAATAAAATATAAATAAAAATTTCAAGAAACATGTAGCCTTGCCATAGATAAGAGAACATTTTGCATAATATACATCCTAATACCTAATTATACCGGGTGTTTTCTAACTGAATGTCAATAACTAAAGGTCCATTTTAAAAAGAAAACTTCATATAAACATATGTCCTAAACATCTTAAGTTTTGAGATACAGGGTGGTAAAGTTTTAAAAAATAAAATAAATTGTTTTAATATCTGTAATACCACCTTATATATTTTAATGAAATTTGTGACACCTGTACTATGTATCAAGAGGCGTTATTTAATGTACCACCACTTTTCTTAAAATACACCAGTGGCGGGCGTGCGGAATTTCACCTGTCTATTTTGGCAGACATTGATGGTACTCCACTGATTTTTCTTAAAATAAAAATTATTTATTCTCAGAATCTAAAGAAAATAAATATGTTTAATAAAACATGTATAATATAATATATGTTTTAATAAAATATTTCAAAAAATCTAAGTAAGAATACGAAGTACGTGATAGAGATATGCGATTTATTAAGAATCACTAGAGGTATACTTCAAAGAGGTTATTATTAATTTATTAATAGACAATTTTGTTCAAAATGATTAATAGTAGGTAGTGTTTTTTTAAATAAGAATCGTTTATTATTTTATCTTATTGTAACGATGTCATGTTATTTCATTAAAACTGTAAAAGTAAAAAGAACAGTCTTCTAATCTTTTTTTCTCAAGGACACTAGTTGGTAACTATAAACTAGAAAGAGCTAATGAAACAGTACCAACTGAAAATATAAATTGTACTAATTTCCGAACGTCCTGTATTAGTAGTTCAAAACATTCCTAACTAATATGTTGGAAAACGATATTCGAAAAATATTCCATCACACGGAATGAACCACATTGCAAGCATGTGTTTACAAAACGTACAACGTTATGTGAAAAACTTTTACATTTTAATTTACTGTTTAAACAATTTACACAACACAAGTTCCACATGCGCGGCATTGTTGCTTGAAAATTGTTTTGTTCCGCACACAGTCAAACAATCGCGTTAAGCTTGAAAACCATATTGTATCCGCTGTGATTATATTTCTAAGCAAATTCGTATAGAGGACGAATAATTTAAAATGGTCCCAACAGAACTCGAGGCAGAAATAATTACATTGTTTTAATTTTAGTTTACGAGTATTCAATTTTTAAGGTTTAAGATTAAAAATAAAAAATGAAAAAAAGTCACCCACAGGCGACCATATTTCAGACGCGTTGCCGATGATAGTCCTGAAGAAGAAGACAAAAAAACGAGATGCATTAGACGTGCTGAAATATCAATAGAATAAACGGATCAAACGCCAGAGTCCAAAAAAGCTGTTTAAAATATACGTGTAAACTGTGTGGATAAATAATGTAAAAAAATCCTAGCATATTTACATTCCGACTATGTACGGTTCGTCCCATAGTTCTTACATTTTTGTAATCCTTAACGTGATCAACATTAAATTGATATTTTATAATCATTTTTAAGAAGCTACGCTATTTTATTTTATTGCAATAGGAGCAGGATTATGCCTAAAATATAAAAAATATCACAAACCGTATAAAGAATTAAAAATAATTTCTAATTATACTAGGAAAATGTATCCAATACTTTGGTTTTAAATAAATAATATGGTCTAACTTAGTGAGTTTATAACTATAATATATAACTCACTGAGAGGAGTAGATCCTTATCCTTAACTTTTGTATTACAAATTGAAACGACCGACTTTGCGTTTTTTAAGTGTTCGTTGAATTTTAATTTATTAACGATTCAACGATATTATATGAGAATTCTGGATAAAACATTGGGCGCATTAGGGAAGTGAGTGTGACCTACGAGGGTCACTGAAGAGTTTCCGACCTCACCCTGAAGATGGCGGCACCTGTTACTAAAAGCCAGTAATTTTTTGGAGGCGTGGTTTCTTAGTTCAGAGTCATTTGAGTGAGTCGATGTGAGTGTTTTCTATGCAATGGAAATAATTGAGTATAGGGCTGTAATAAAATATTTGTTTTGCGGAGACAAACGCTGCGTTCTATTTGTACGAGTTAGAGAGACGGGATCATCCCTGGGAAAAGTGTATACAAGGAGACTATGTAGAAAAATAAAAAAAAGAGAAAAAATTCCTTGTATTATTGTTAAGTTTTAAAGTAACCCCCGTATGTGTAGTAATTCACATATAAATCATTACTAATTCACATTTAAACAAATGAAGAGGATAATAACCACTGCGATAAGGATAAAGGCTAAAGAGAAGTGTGCAATTTACTTTAAAATTTTTCTTCAAACAAAGCAAGGAAATAAAATTAAACGAATTTACCTAAACCTGTTTGCCATTCTAAATGTTAAATAAAAAAATATTGAACATTCGTGTTGGTCATACTATACAATAAAAATATATTGATTTGCCAATAAATACCTATCCAAAATGGGTGCAGGGTGTTAAAAGTACGCTGCCAAACTTTAAGGCAAGATCACTCGACTGATTTTAAGATGCAGGGTGTTTTTCTTTAAAGTAGTTTCTTCAAGGTGGTTCGAAAATAATGCGCCAATGTTTAAGCAAAAGAAAAAGAAAATCGACATACTTAGTTTACAACGTGTAGATACGTGTTAGATATTAAAAAAAATACCGGCTTTTGCAAGTGCGTAAAAGTACGTCTTGATGGTTGCCACTTTTTTTCAATTTTTATAAATTTCAGTTTATTATGTATCAAAGGGTCGAACAATCAAAGTTTCACAAAAATACGTTTTGTCAATCCTCAGGATTTTTATTTTTTTGGCAGATACGAGACCACCTCAAGAGTCAAAAAAATTGAATTTTTGGTGGATTGTTCGACGCGTACTGTTCGTAAAGATAAGAAAAAGTCCATTTAAAACTATTTTCTTACAAATTGATTTAAATGTCCTGGGTCGATTCTTATTCTAGTTGACAATCAATGACCTATTTGTTATAATTTTAGATCCTATATAAGAGATACTGTAATGAAATGAATAAAGTTTAAAAAAACTCTCGGACATTAAAAATGAACCAACCATAAAAAAAATGGATTTAAAAAGACCTTTTTTCCATCCAGATTTTATTTTTCATCCCGAAGCGAGCTATTAAAAAAATTTTTTTGGTTGTTCAATGAACACAACAAAAGTAACGAACACATTTATGTTTAAAAGATTTTGGAAAACAAAATCGATCAAACTCTTGAAATTTGAAAGCGTACATTAAAACACCCTGTACATGGTGAGTCAACAATAGAGTAAAGTTTATCCATTCATTTCAAAAGTTATGAGAAAATGGTAACAACAAAAGTTGTAAAAATTGCTAGGATGCACAATTCAAAATTACAGGGTGGCTCAAGAAAGCGTGACGAATAAAACATACTTGTTTTTTAATAGAATACCTTATTTTCAAATTTCGTTTTGATTTTTCTTTTAAATTCTTCAATATTTTTACTTGCACCTAATAGCATATCCATACCTGTTTGACACTAGAGTAATTAATAGATCGCGTAAAAGATATATGCAATGGAACTTGAATTAGATACCACAGAGTGTGCAAAATAAATGAATATATTTGGATCATTTTAAATTGAAGAATCTCGTTTTTATTAAATGGCTCACCACATATATGGTTATTTATTTAATAATTTTCACAACATTTCACAACAACAAGACTATTGCTACCATGTTAGTTGGCCATGGCAAAACTATTAGCCACCATTTCAAAAATGAAGGGGAGAAATAACTTTTTTGGAGCCGTAAAATAAGGCGACAGATATTAGGAAACTTTAATTTCACCGAAAAAGTGCACAATATTAAATAAATATTAATTACTACAAATTAACTTCTCTTATTTTTAATAATTGTTATAACGCATTAAGCGTTCAAATATATAAATCATACTATACTATCGACCCATTTCTCTGTGGGTCATAATTACTTAAAAATTTTAGAACTTGTCGAGAGTAATACGGAGGAGCTCCATCTTGCTGAAACTACATTTGTTGGATCTCAATGTTAACAACTTTTTGAAGAAGTTGCAAAAAGTTTAAATATGGTGAAGTGCTACGCGAAAAAAATATGGTCAAGTAACTTTAAAGCGTTTCATTCCATACCACACATTAAGTGACCAACAGTTTGGTTTGGCCCTTCGCGTACCTAGAATGGATTAACTATTGAATAGTAATGCACGTTACGAGAGTTAATTACATCATTACTGTCAAAAGTTATTTTAGACAAAAAATTTGGATCGACCTCTATTCCTTCATTTAGAACGGTGCAAAATCACGGTCTACAAGTTTTTGGTGTATTTAAATAACGCTGAAAATTGTCATATACCTTACAATATAACTTTTAATATAACTCTTTTATTTTAAAAATAACTGGAAAACCCTTATAACACTTATAAACAATTCTATAA